CTCTGGGCAAAGGACTGAGGGTTCTGATCATTCCCCTGAGACTTGCCTCTCCCAGTATCTACCCCCACCCCCATTACTTTGGACTATGCAGAATTTCGAATACACACAAAAAGCCCAGGAATGACTCATGTGATTAATGAACCCCATTACCCCAGATTTGGCTGTTCTGCAGATGTCGACCTTCTGCATGTTTATTTCATCTCTAAACCTCTACCCTGGCCGTTTTTCCTGTGATATTATCATGCAAGACCCAGCCATATAACATTTTACCCAAAGATACTTAAATTTATATCTCCGTTCAAACAAGTACTTCTTTTTAACAGTTCAGGCTGTCATTATCACACTTAATAGAATTAACAATCTCTTAATATTCATAATCAACTTTCTCCAATTGTCTCAAAAATTGCTTTGCATTTAGTTGGGATTGTTTGGATCAGGGCCCCATAAGGTCCACACCCTGCACTGGCTGACAGATCTCGTAGGTCTTTTCATCCATAACTGCCCCTTTGCCTCCCCCTTTTAATGCTATTTACTTGCTGAAGAAACTGAGTCCTTCGTTTAGTGGAATTTCCTACATTTTGGCTTTGGCTGGTCACTTCCTCATGGTGTCAGTTAACTTGTTCCTCTGTCCCCTGTAATTCCTATAAACTGGCAGTACAGATTCAAGTTCCAGTGTTCCTTTTCCCAGCTAATGACAAGCAGTTATTTCTTCCATCTCAGGAAGAGCCTTCTCTCGACCAAGTTTACCCCTCCAGCAATCATCCCATCCTTTGCCTCTCATGCCAGCAACTTGTGTATAGAATTATAAGTACTTGCTGACTCCAATACCTTGACTCCCAAGCTCTCTTAAACCCTCTCCGGTAAGGTTTTGCCCTGCCTCCTCACTGAAACTGCTCACCGATGACCTCCATTTTGCTAAACCAGTGATTTTTGTTTTCCACCTTGATGGTGGTGGTAGGGATTATGATATGTACACAATCTCAAGACAAATAAAAATGCTGCTGCTGCTGCTATTCCATGATCCATCTCATGTCCCTATGTGGAGGCAGGTAGGGTAGCTAGGCTGGGTGGGGCTGCTCACTGTGTCCAGCGAGGCAGCTGCCCTCATGTCAGGCAGGAACCCCACATCCAGCACATGTAGCAAGAAGTCCTGGTTCTCGATGCCATACACACGGTCCAGGAAGAGCACCATGGATGCCTTGTGGTCTGGCACGAAGGATGCTGACATCTTTGGTTGGACCAGAGCCCCATCTACAGGCAAGGAGGGCAGGGCATCAGGGATGCCTTTCAGACTCATCATCTCTCCCCCACCAGCATCATTCCCTTGCCGAGTCCTGCCCACTGCATACCCTTGCCCAGGGTAGGGATCTGCAGTGGGAGGCTGATGATGCCCACGAGGTCGTCCAAGGGCACGAGGGAACGCAGGATGGCACGGATCCGCAGGGCCTCGCCCTTGCCGGCTTGAATTAGCTGAAAAGGGTGGTGGTGGGCATGTCACAGGACACTTGTGTCCCATTGGTGATTGTTCCATTCCATCCCTTCCTGACCCGCTGGCAGGTAGACCAGGCCTCCTTCTCCAGGGGCTAACTCTAGAGTTCCCGATCCCCTGCCTGTGCCTCCCCATTCCAGCCCTGACCATTCTGGGCCATTATTGTCTATCTC